TAGATATTGCAAAAGAGCTAATATAAGTTAGGGGAAATTATGAGCCAAATTGAGCAGGTGGAAAGAACAATAGCAAAATGACTGTGAATGGAAAGTAAAAGAACTCCTCAACATGAATTTGAGAGACAGTGAAGGAAACAATTTAGGCAGAAGCTTAACCTGTCAGCTGTTAGAAATGAGAAAGCAATGTTGAGAAAACAGAAAAGAGTTCATGGTGCTCATGAAGGTGAAGCATTGCTCTAATCTGTGGTTTTACTGACTCCAGATCCTGATTCAGTCTCTGAAGTTCCACAGCGATGGATTAACCTTTGCTGATGAAGCTGATGGTGACAGGCAGGGAAAGTGCTGTTGCATTCATCCTGACCAGCAAAAGATGCTAAAATATCATCCCAATAAAACACTGCCAAAGGGGTGAAGTGTCTTAAGCAGGAAATGGCACTGCACGTGGCTCTTCCTTGCTGGGCTTGGCTGGGGCAGGAATAACCTCTAACCCTTCTCCACCTCCGAAATGCCACAGCTGGAAGTAAATTCAGGGCCATCAGCACCGATTAAGAAGCACAAGTCACCCCAAAAGAGAGGCTGGGATTTGCAGACAGAGCTGTTGCAGTCTCCAGCCTGTCTCTGTCCCAGGAAGACCACCAGCTCTTAACTCCCTTTCTTCCTGCTGCAGTCTCTGCCCACCACCCAATTGCTCATGCTTCAGCTAATTAAGGGAATTAATAAGGCTAAAAAAGGAAGTGCTTCTGCCTGCAAATCTTTCCCCAAAATCTGCTTGCAGTTCCTCTCAAGTTTAAAGGAAGTGACCAGGTTAGAAACACACAGGAAGACTGGAGAGCTTCAATAAAAGCTCATTTTCAGGAAGGATGACTTTGGGCCCATCAGGAGTGATTAGGTGAAGCAGTCAGGTCAATGATGGCAGGACCAGATAGGAAGAGAAACCACTTCCTCAGCCCAGAGCTGTATCTGGGCCATCAGAACCTTCACGTCCCTCTCGGGGGTTTCTACACCACAGAAATGAGTGGGAATGGAGCTGGGCTACCCCTGCAAGAACTCCATCTCTCAATGTCACCCACAGAATTCTTTCTTTTCTTGTAAACAGTTTATTCTCTGGACCAGAAAAATGTCAAAAGCTGTGTTTGGTTTTTCTCTCCTGAGATAAAGTACGATGCGTTAGGGTGGGATTTGTAGCCAAAGCAGCTGTAAGAAAAAGGGAGGAGGATGTGTTTGACTGAGCTCACCTTGACCTTTCAGAGGTGCCACAGTGGATGCTCATGATGCCTGAAGTTTTAACTTTCATATTTTCCAGATTCTGTACTGGTACATATATATTTATATTTATATTTATATTTATATTTATATTTATATTTATATTTATATTTATATTTATATTTATATTTATATTTATATTTTTATTTATATTTATATTTATATTTATATTTATATATTTATATATTTATATATTTATATATTTATATATTTATATATTTATATATTTATATATATATATATATAAAAAAAGGTATATAACTCTAAATTTCATATAAAGTGTCAGCAAGTTCTCCTCACAGCTCAGACAAAACAATCCTTTTCCAGCCCCAGAACCAAGAACACCTTTGCAGCTTTGGGCCCAAAAAGCTATTTTTATTTATCTATATATCTATATACCTATATATCTATATATCTATGTATATATATAGAGAGAGAGATAGATATAGATATTATATTAATTAATATATTAATTAAGACATTAATATTTTAATAACATATAATAATTTTATATATAATTATATATAATTATATTATATATAACTACATTATAATTATATTATAAGTATATAATTATATCTATAATTATATTATATATAATTTTATTTTATACATAATTTTATAAATCAATATATTAATATATTAATTAATATATAATATAGAATCTAACTTAATATATAATATATAGTATCTTTTCATACAGACCATGCTCCACAGGTATTATGAAGATATGAAAGAAGATGTGTTTTTTACACATCTGAAAATGAGTTTCTCTGACCAGAAAGAGAAACAAGGCAATTGCTGCAGACCCAGTTCATGCCCAAGAGGACAGCACCTGCTTTTGTTTTTGGAGGTCCACACTGTCCAGCTGTTTGCAGGCAGTTCAGCTGGTTCTTCCACGAGTTAAATTCTCCTGTCCAACCCCCCAGCTCCTCCTTTTCCAGGGGATGAGAGCATTTCCCCTGGGCAATGGGCGTTGAATGAAGGTGAAGCCAGCAAGGGCTGCTGGGTTTTGGTTAAAGGTTTCTGCTCTGTGCCTGTCACACACAGAGAGCTCCCCATGGGCCGGGGGCTCGGGTCTGTGCCCCTTCCCGTGATCCTGGGCACTGCCAGGCTCCAGCTGAGTGCTGGCACAACCACGGCACTGCAGGATTTAACCTTGGCTCCAACCAACAGCCAAAGTTTGGATTCACTCAGCTCCCCAGTCTGGGAAAGCCCAGAAATGACAGACCCATGTAGGAGATACTGGATTGTCATCAAACCCAATCAAACCAGCAGGGCTAATTACCAGCTTGCTCCGGTTTCCTTCAGTTCTTGCTGGAACAAAGCTCCTGCATGTGACACCGAGAGGAGTTTCCTTGGAAAACCAGCAAGGTGACCAGAGCAGCAGCACACCCAGAGCCATCCCATCACTAAAAGGACTTGGTGACTGCAAAGGGTCGAGGCAAAACCCCAAGAGACTCCAGCTTTAGGGCCCCTGTGGAAGAGGGACCAAAATCCTTCTGATAAACACGGCAGATTCTGGCAAATGCTGGGTGTGTGCAGTTGGGTCGGGATTCCAAAGGCCTGGAAGGTTCCAGAAGGAGAGCAGGGCCTCTGAAAGCCACCAGGTAGTGTGCACTTCCACGTGCAGGGCAGGAGGAGAAGCTGAAAGCAAGGAAGAGCACGGAAGAGTGTGTGCAAGGGTGTTTGGGATGCCCCTGGATGTGTTGTCCTCTCTCCTGTTTCGGATACAACGCCAGGGACATCGCTTGAAACGCAGCTTTTGTGCCACCAGCGCTGCTAACTCAGGCTGAGAGACACTTGCACTGGGGGAGTACAGAAATGACAAGGTAATTCCAGAAATAAATAAGCACAACCTTCACCCACGGGGTTTTTTAGTCTTAGAAAGAAAACCAGTACAAAATCCAAAGTTGGAGAGAGAGGAGATAGGGAAGAGCTCGCATCTGGCTCAAAGGCACCTGTGCAAAATGTGAGAATTATTCCAAGGGTTTGGGATGTCTTAGCTCAGCATCCTGGCATTTTTGCAGAAATGAAGCACTGAGCAGCAAGCCCAAGTTTTTTTTCCTGGAGGGAGCAGGTTGGGACCCCTCAGAGCAGCTTTCCTGGGGACATCATAATCCCCAGACACGACACTGCAGATCCATAGAAGAAAAACAATCCTCTTCCCATCCCTCCAGCCCCAACAGGACCTCAGGGCATGGCTTCATTCCCCTGCAGGGCTTGGTCCCAGCCCAGGTGGTGTTCCCAGGTCACAGAACACCAAACTCACACCCTGCATCCCAGGGAGCAGCACCAACCCTCCCGGCTGTGGCGTATTCCTGGCTGAGGAAGGAGGGCGAGGGCTGTACCCAGGGCTTCTCCTCGGGCTGGGGCTCAGTCAGGAGCTCCAGCACACCCAGGTGAGTGACCAGAGGAGGGAAGGGAACAAGAATTTCCACGCCCACAAAAGCCAGTGGAAGATGTGGAAGCTGAGCCTTCTTCACTAAGCTTCCACGACCTGTGGTGAGCTCTCCAGCAAACACCAGAGCGCATTCCTGACCCAATCCACGCTCAACTCAACCTCACAGCTGGTCCTGCTGCACTCCCCTCTTTGTCTGGTCTATGTTGACAGGAAATACCCTTGCCTGGATGGGAGAACACATGAAAAGAACATTGCTCCTGTTCCTCTGCATGCAGGATACATGTCAGGACATGTGCCTCATGACAGGTTAAGAGGGCACATTTTGGGGAAGGGAAACTTTCTGACAACTCATCCCTAGAAGGCAGGCAGGTAATTATAGTCCCAGTGGGCTCCATCCTCACCAGGAAAAGGCAGCGCCTGACTTCGGTCATGATTTGGTAATTTAACAAGGGCAGCAGAAAGAGCAGTGCTGGGCTGCCCCAAAGAAGGCTGCAAAGTCTGTCACCCAAAATAAACACAGGATATGGTCCCTGTTTCAGTCAACTCATATTTGGCAGCCCTGGGTGTCATAAGCAGAAGTCACAGAGACCAACCAAAGGTATCCCAAGGGACAGGCTGCCAGGAGAGCAGCCTGGATGGGCTGCCCCTCCGCAGGCATTTTCTGGACTACAGGTTTCCAAGTGTGCAAAAGGGAAAGTTGTTCCCAAACAGTTCTCAGTTTTCTCCCTCCTATGCTTTGCACAACATGCCATGGCTTTAAAAGCAGAAGAAAAAAGTGAGAAGGGAAGTGCATGTTTTATCTTCCATCCCTTGTGCTTTCCACCTGTCCCACATCCTTTCCTAGTCATTGCTTCTTTACAGAAAAGGGGTTTTAGGAGTGTTGTAAGATGCTAGAAAAGGAGAGAGCCAGCCCTGTAAACTCCCTCTCTGAGGCTGAACAGAGAGGTGAGAAAAGTCTGAGTGAAGATGAGCGCTGTCCACCCGACTCTTTGCTATTGTTGGAAAGAACACATATCACATAAACAACTCTCCTTTGAAAGGCCCTTACTCAAAATTGAACTGGGATGCAATAAATCAGCCCCCACATTCACACACAGAAAACCAAAAAAAATAATAAAAATTAAAAAAAAAATAAGAGAAAGAAAGAAAAGAAAAGAAAGAAAGGAAGGAAGGAAGGGGAAATTTAGATTAGTCACAAAGAAGTTTCCCCGCCTGCTTCTCTGTGCATAAAGCAATCTCCTGGAGGCAGTGTCTTCACTTCATCTCTGCTCCTGGAGCTCATCTGCTCCCTCTGGGCTCCTGCTGGGGCCCTTCCCCAGCAGCTGCTGCCATGGAAGGACAGCCAGACACAGAGCCAAGGGCTGGAGAGCAGATGGAGAGCCCAGGGGAAGCTGAGGAGGATGAATGGAGGCCCTGGCAAGGAGGACAGGTTAGGAACATACTGCACCTCGTGTCTGCTGCTGCTCAGTGGATTTTACTGCTTGCCTGCCTGGTTTACCTGGGTGTAGATTTGCTGCGGCCCTCAACGGTAAGAGCTCGTGTTCAACCCTGTTGGACCTTTGTGAAGCTTTGTATGGGCTTGATTTTCTTTTTATTTTTTAAGAAAAGAGAACAAGCTTTTAAGTTTATCCCTATCCCTATTCAAGTTTTTAATTCCTTCTGTATGACAGTGTTATGTTGTTTTTTTCTCTAGGTTTTTTTTTTTTTTAATTAAATTAAATTAAATTTTAAATTAACATTCAGTGCTGCCCAGTGCAGGGTTTGGGCCCAAGTTTCCAGGAGCGTGACTGTTCCAAGAATTCTCTTTTCACTGACCCCTGAGGGAGGGAGCTCTGACTCCCTTCCACTCTTCCCACTCCCTGCAGTGACTAGTGTGTATTTCCATTTAATTGAATGACAATCAGATTTGCTCATAAACACCTCCTGAACTTCTGAAGTGTCCTAAAGGGCAGGCAGATGTGTGAGAAAGCAATTTACCCTTGTGACAGCTCTAGCAAGGCCCTGTGATGCCTTTGGGGGCTCTCAGGCTGCCCATAAAGCAGGATTAGGAGCAATCACCTCTCTGTGTGTGTGTGGGGGGGAAAGCTGGAGTGTCCAGAGGGGGTTTTGTGTGCCACAACACCAGAGCAAACAGGATAAATAATGCTTGGAGCTCCCAGTGCCCCAGCACTGCAGCAAATACACCTTTGGCGTGTCTGCAGGCTGCTGGATTGTCAACAACCTCTCACTGCTGCTTCAGCTCCTGCAGCCATTTCTCCTCCCACTCCTTCTCCAGGAGCTTTGCACCACTTTAAAGCTTGTTGTGCTTCGTTTCAGCCCAGCTCACTCTTTTCCTCCCACCTAGGCTGGGCACAGAAACAAGCCAGGCATGTGACCGTGGCCTCGTGCTCGGGGTCCTCTGCTGCTGAATGAAAAGCCTTGTGCTGTGCACAGCTTTCACTGACCTGAGGCTCACAGTGGTTATTAAACTGCAGAACAGATTAAGAAACCCTGATAACCCTGAAAGATAACACTTGTCATTCAGGTCAGTCCTCTTCTCCTTCCACTATGCTGGGAGAGAGAAGCTGCACTGCAGGGCAGCAGAGGAGGGCGAGCAATCGCAGTGCTCAAGGTGCAGAAACCTCTCCCAGGTCACTCTGGCTCTGAAGCCTCATCATCTCAGCATCTGGCTCTTCTGCAAAAGTAAGGAATAAAAATAAATAAAAGGAATAGAGCAGGGTCTGGCATTGCTGCCTGGCAAAGCCAAGAGAGCAGCAGCAGGCGAGGGGACACAGAAATGCCTGGGGCTTCCCTTCCTCAACAGAAACAACTGGTACAGGGTGCTCGAGGAGCAGAAATGGCAGCAGATGAGAAGTCCAGGTCCCTGAGAATCACCAAAGGACCTTTTCAGTTTGAAACACTCCATAGCTACAGGGTTAGGACTGTTATTTCTGTTATTTTAACAGAGCTGGAGTGCACTGCTCTGTGCAGGAGAGGTACACGGGGAGATCTCTTTGCAGTGCAATCCCAGGGCTCATCTGGAGAATCCTGAACTGACATAGAAATGTATAAATGAGGGGGCAGCAGCACGAATCTGACTTGACTTTTGGGGCAGTTTAGGGACACTTTATGGAAGCAGAGACACAGCAGCATGAGAGTGGCAGATTTGGGAGCGCTGGCCCATGGGAGTGAATGAGTGGCTCTCCCTACCCTTGGGAAGTCTCCTGTTCTCCAAGGTGCAGAGTGCCACGCTAACTTTATTTGCAAGGGAATAACTGTGTTTTTTCACACATTTGGTTCCTTTCCATTGTCCTCATGGAAATATGGCTCTAAAAAGAAAAACCCTCCTGGACTGTCAAGGCACATAGTCAGTAAATTCAGCATCTGCAGCCCAGACTGTGCTTAACAAAAAGGGTTTGGATTCTCATTTCTGTTGTGATGCCACTTGGAGAACAAACCTCAGCTGAGATTTCCTAATGAGGAAGGTAAAAAGAAAAGGTCAGTGATAGTCTGCTCTTGCATCTGCAATTCCCACCTCTGCTGGACTTACCTTCTCTTGCCACACCTTTCCCCTTGCCTGGGAGGTAAAATCCGTGATGCTGGTGAGGAGAAGGTGCAACCCACTTCCAGAGAAAGGTCACCTGCCACCTGAGGGACACCTCCACGTGTGACACAGGCAATCCCCTCAGTCATCCCCCTGAGGTTTGTGCTTTGTGTGGCCCAAATTTATTCCTGAAACCTCTGCCACGTGGTGGGACACAGAGCCCCAGCCTCCTGGGGAGGATCCATCTCGGGGATCCAGAGCTGGCACAGAGGAAGGAGCTGTGTGTGAATGGCACAGGGAGCCCTGGAGCTGGCACTAGAAACACCTCTGTGTCCTCAGCCCTGCTGGCACGCTTTCCCCCACGCCATACAAAGGCAGAGCAGACAAAGAGAGGTCACCAGCTTTGCTCTGAGCCCCCAGAGTCCTTCCAGTCCCACCAACACGCTGCCTCCTCAGCAGGATTTAGCAGCAAAGCGCTCCGGGATCGCTCAATAACCGCAAGAGATGCGTAAACCAGGTCATTTCCATTAGTGACAGCGGGCTTGATATTCTTATAAATGCAACAATTTTGTCACTCAGTCTGTGTTTGATGCACCCTGTCCATCGGTGGCCAGGTGGCACAGACTGTGGGAGATGTTTGACCTCAGGTGCTCAGCGCTTTGCTGAGAGAGCAGCTGGAAATCCCCAGAGAAACTCTTGTGCACTCAAAACAAGCTGGAGCATTGAGGTTCAGGCTGAGGCAATGGGTAGGGATGGGATGAGACAATTCTGCCGGACTCAGAGCGCAATTCAAGCTGGAATTTCTCTCTCTGCCAGCCGTGCCCAGCCCTGGAAGCCCAGAGCAGCACTAGAGGGTGCCAGAGCAGACCTTTTCCAGCAGCACAGCCAGCACAGCTCCCACAGCGCAGTGAAAAATGAGGTTCACTTTTTTTTATATATATAGAATTTAAAAGCTTAATAGAAAGACAATTAGGAGATAAAATAAAGTAAAATATACAGATACATTGCATTCAGCCAAGAGAGCACACCTTACTGACAAAGGATTGTCCCTTAAAAACAGAACCCTACTACATATCCATAAATTCTCATACATAATTCAAACATTCTTCTTAAGTTTTGGATGTTCTTTTGTTTAGTTTTTAACTTGCCTCCTCCCCAATAGATCAATGTTCTCTTCTCCATTCAGCCTCACACTCTCTGATAACAGAAATACAATAAATTCCTCCCCTCAACACTGGTCACTGCTGTCTTCATCTGGATAAAATCATCTAAGAATGCAGGGGGGTCTTTGACTGCCTTTTTAGTCTCTGATTTATATGAACAAAAGTAGTTTTTGCTTTAATATCATGTTATAGCCTAACATACATGTAATTAACATGTATTATACCATGAGTTTTAAGTCTCATCAATAACAGAAATAGAAGGAACTGTATTAATACAACAAAGTTTTCTAACCTTGTACATATAACATTCATTTTAATGTTTGTGAAAGGCCAATAATATGATATGATATGATATGATATGATATATGATATATGATATATGATATACTATACTATAATATACTATAATATACTATACTATATTATACTATACTATACTATACTATACTATACTATACTATACTATACTATACTATATTATACTATACTATAATATAATATACTATACTATAATATACTATACTATACTATACTATACTATACTATATTATACTATACTATAATATAATATACTATATTATACTATACTATAATATAATATACTATATTATACTATAATATAATAAATATAATATAATATAATATAATATAATATAATATAATATAATATAATATAATATAATATAATATAATATAATATAATATAATATAATATAATATAATATAATATAATATAATATAATATAATATAATATAATATAATATAATATAATATAATATAATATAATATAATATAATTAAATTAAATTAAATTAAATTAAATTAAATTAAATTAATATGTATCTATAATACTCAGCCTGCCCCTGCCTTTGCCTGCAGACAGGCACTGCCCAGCACATCCCCTGGGCATCCTCAGGCTACTCTGTGACACCTGAGCCCAGATCTGGGAATTTCAGCCCCATCCACACCTTCTCCCTTAGGGAGCCTTTGGCATGAGTAAGGAGAGGAAAGCAGAGCACTGAGCCCGAGTTTCACTCTTTGATCAGGCCAAGCGCTGAAGATCTGTGGTTGTGTAGAGACTGCAGATTTGGGACTCCTGTGGTTATGATGAGAGACAAGTTTGAGATGCCAAGCTCAGATTTAAAGACCCAGCGCAGCAGCTCGGTGTTTTGCATATCTGACCAGTGAGATACACACACACACTTCTATATTTGCATTCACTTTCTCTGTTACATTCATAAAATACAAATCACAGGATGATTTAGGCTGGAAGGGACCTTGAAGATAATCCCTTTCCAGCCCCTCTGCCACAAGCTGAGAGGGACACCTTCCACTATCCCAGGTTGCTCCAAACCCCTTCCAGCCTGGCCTTGAACACTTCCATGGATGCGCCATCCACAACTTCTCTGGGCATCCTGTGCCACGGTCTCACCACCAAAATTAGGAAGAATTTCTTCCTAATACCTAATTTAAACCTGCCCCCCGTTATTTTTAAACCATTCCCCCCTCCCTTATCGCTCCAAGTCCTTGTTAAAAGTCTCTCTCCAGCTCTGTTGTAGCCCCTTCAGGTACTCGAAGGTGCTTTAAGTTCTCCCTAAAGCTTTCTCTTCTCCAGACTGAACAACCCCAACTCTCCCAGCCTGCCTTCACAGGAGAGCTGCCCCAGCCAACTTCAAACCCATCTCAGCACCCTTCAGAGCCTCTGAGGGACACACACAGCCAGGAGCAGCCTGCCCCAAGGAGCCACAAAGGCAGAGCCAGCTCTCGGTGCCCTGCTGGAGGGTGGGACAGCACACCTGGCTCTGCCAACCCCTCTTTGCCAGGTGCTGCAGGCCTCAAGGGGGTCACACAGAAAAGGCTCTGCACCCCAAAGTCCTTCCTTTCTGTTTGCTCTGCCTCAATTGCACATTTTCTGAACAAAACCAACCCTGCCTGGGGTGCTCTGGAGGGCTCAGCACTGGGCTGAAGGCGCCCTGGCTGGGAACCACGCCGAAACAACACTCTAATAATTCTCTAATAACGATATCAAATGGAGCCCTGGCTGACAGCAGCTCTGATACCCAGGAGCTTCTCTGCCCCTGTAGAGAAGGAAGGATCCTGGCTGGGAAATGAAAGTGGCAGCAGCAGCAGCAGCAGTGAGGTGCCAGCCCGGTGCTGTCGAGATGAAAAGCGAGGGATGGGACCACTGTGCTATTTAAGATGATTTATTGCTGAAGTAGATATCAGTCTCTAAGGTGTGAGATTCAGCCATGGCTTAAGGTAGTCATGGGTTTCTTCTTCACACAGCAATACATAACATTTTGGTCCAATAGACAGTTAACACAAAACTTGTTTCTAGTTAATAACCTATCACCTTTGCTTAATTTTGCCTCATTGCATTTTTTCTTTTAGCCACTAAGCTGACAGGTCATGTACCCACACACAAATCTAACATAGCTTTTAGATCCCCAGCCTACCCTATAAGTCACATTATTACAGCTCAAAAATTATTTTACCTAATATAATTTCTTACTTACTCAAGGCATATTCTTACTTACAATTATAGAAACATAAGTTTATAATCTTCCTACTTAATGTTTGTGTACCTTTATCATTACATTAACCCAAGCTCTTTCCAAGGCTGCAGATTGAACCCTTCAGCATCTGAGGAAGTTCCCATTTTTCCATTTGCCTCAAAGAGGATTTATCTGCTTTGTTTTCCAGACCCAGAGTGACAAAGTGCCGTGGACCCACATCCGCTACACAGGTGGGTGTTGGGCTGGGGGGACCCCTTGATGATCCCCCAGTGTAGCAGCCACCACCGTGCCACATCCCCCTGGCCCTCTCTGAGGGCTCCCTGCTCTGCCACAGCCCCCAGGGACTTCCACAGCATCCCTAAAATGTGGTCCCTAAAGGGCTCTTATGTGCTTGGTGCCACAGTGGTGGCTGTTCCTTCTGATGGAGGTGCCAGGAGAGCTGGAAGGGGAGAGGGGCCAAGCCTGCCCCAGCTCTGCAAGAGGCCAAAATGAAACAATTGGGTTTTCCCAGAGCAGAACAAAAATAACCTGAAAACCTGTGTGGATTTCTGCAGCCCTCACCTATCTCCTAAAACAATCTTTCACTCTGTGAATGAACAAGAAAGGCATTTTTGAGACTTTTACTAAATGCAGGCAGCACGCTCTTGGGATTTTCTGAAACAAGTCAATGGTTTCCTGGTTTATGAAAAATGTAAATGATTTCCTCAGGAGGGGTGGGTGAGAGCACACACCACAGCAGATGTGCTGCTCTGAGTGCCAGTTTGTTTGTAGTTGTCACACCTCAAAGATAAAACCAGTTGCTAAAATAGTTTAAATAATACTGGAAATGTTATTGACAGTTTTACTTTCAGTTAAAAGCGTGAGGCAGCACTGAGTCCAACCTAAGAAACTCACATCCTTTAGAGGAAAAGCTTGAGAAATTTGGTCCCATCCTGGGGTGGGGGCTGTGCTCCCTGCCTGGAGACCTTCAGGGTGAAAACCCAGGGGCACAGCAGAGAAACACAACCTGCACAGCCCTGAAAACTGTTACTCTTCATTCCACGAGAAAACCTGTCATGCCAAGTTCCAGTTCAATTTCTCCTTATTCTGCTCTATATGAATTAATTCCTTCTGCTTCTGCCTCTGCTGCTCTTTCCTCTTGTCTTCTGGAAAACAAACACAAAACCACAACCTAACCCTAAGACAAGGGTTTATGTTACCAGCATCTCCACGGAAAGCATTTTTGTCTTCCACCTGTGGATGCTTTTTCCTCATCTTATTTACTGTTTTATTTTTCCTGCTTTATTTTTTATCAACCTGTGCTTTCTAAACTCACAGTGATGCTTTACTCACTGTGCTTTCCCGCATTCTAAGACACAGAGGAAGCAAATAGTGCATAAATAAAAATTTGGAGGAGTAATCCATATAAACCACGTGCCAAAAAAGGCACAGCTTCGTCAAGAGTGGGAATCCGTAACTTTTCACGGTAGAAGATGGTTAGAGTAGATGATATTCTAGCTCTGGCCTGTTTACTCTCCCCTTTCTTATATTTTTCAATCATCCCTGCAGTCAGATGGTGTAAAACAAGCCATTTCCTGATTTTTGTCATCAGGGGATCACCTTTGCTTCCTCCCATTGCAGGCAGAAGCATCAAAGGAGCAGCCGTGAATCTCAGCGCCGAACTGGGGCCCATCCAGATCAGAAACGGCTCCATCGTCATCCCCTGCGACGGGCTCTACCTCGTGTCCCTCCAGAGCTCCATCTACCTGGAAGAGGAGGACTGGCTGAAGCTGACCCTGCAGGGGACACACAAGACCACCAGCAGCCCCCTGTGGGAGCAGATTGTCCAGAGCAGCCACAACACCGTGAACCTCACCACGGCGCTCTACTTGTTCGAGCAGGACAGCATCACGCTGTGGACCAACTCCAACGCCAGCATCTCGGATCTGTCCTTCAGCCTGGTGTTAATAAGTGACAACAAGTGCAGAAGGGAAAGTACAGCCTTCCCCACCGACCTGTAACTTTTGGACAGGCAGACTGCTCTAGAATCCCTCCCTGGGGCTGTGGAGAGCTGTGGGGACTGACAGTCATCAAATAAGAGATTTTTAGGCTTCAGGCTCTAGCTTGAGCCTGCGGGAAAGTCAAGCACACAAACCCTCTCCCTCTGGCCTGAGAAATCAAAAGGAGGAATCCCAACAGTCCTTGGAGAAGGAAAACAACCTTTGCAGGTGTTGTTTGTTCCTTGTTGTTTGCTTGTCAGAAACGGCCCAGGGGTGTTGTTCCAACTGCCCAGTGATGGTGATGGGTTGGTTTCATGAGCAGTGAGAGTTTTACCTCCTCAGACCTGCTCAGAACTGTCTATAAAAGAAGATCTGGAAGAATAAAACTTGCTCTCTTGTGGAACTGAGGCTGGAGAGTCCGTGTGGTCACTTTTCCATGCCTCATACAGTGCGATATGGAGCCTCAGGTAAACCACAGCTCAGACAGGTTTTCTGTAGAGCAGGCAGGCTTTGCCTCTTTGGAGCTCTGCACCACTCATTTGCTACCCAGGACGGATCTTCCCATCACTGGGGAAAGGGAAGGGTGCAGCTCTTGAGAAGAGCAGAAATGGAAGCCAAAGAAAGTCACCAAAGCCTACCTGATATTCAGAGAAACCCCATGTTTCTCTATTTACTTTTATATCTGTGTATAGTAAGAAATGTGCTGTATTTTTTCTCAAATAGAAGTGTGGCGAGTCAGGAAGATTCCTCAAGTGTCTTGAAGCCACCTGGAGCAGGAGGAGCACAAATCTGTCTGGCGAGATGGAAAACAGGGAAGAGGCAGCAAGGGAATGAGTGAGCCAGATAAAGGCTGTCTGAGAGGGAAAGGTGGTATTTGGAAAAGAGCTGCCAGGACTGCACTGCACAGCAGGAACACAAACCCTGCACTGGCTGTGGAGTTTTGGGGAGCAGCCTTCGGGAGCAGAGCCCCACTGGCTGTTCCAGCTGTCTCCAGACTACTGAAGCTGGACCCCAAGGAATATCTGGTGGGACATTTACATCTCGAGATGTAAGGCCTCAGAGGAAAAAAAACCTCCTTCAAGCACAGGCACACTGGCTTGACCCAAACGTGATCCAGGCACGTAAAAAGTTGGTCAAACGTGAAGACTTCTAGATTTGGTTCTTCTCTCTGAGGGACCAAGTGGGAGCTGCAGGTCTGAGCTCCTTTTCCTCAGGGAGGACTCGGCTGGTTTTGTGGCTGCCCCAGACTTTGTCCCACCTTTCCCAGGCACGGCCTCCTGTGCACACCTGCCTGGCTCCTGCTGAAGTCAGAGCACTCTCAGTGACCCTGGGCTGCTCATCCCTGTTCTCCTTGCAGCTCGGGGCTGCTGGAGACAAGTCCTGCCCTGCCCTTGTTGCCTCAGCACAGCCAGCAGCTGTGGGATTTTTGGTTCAAGTGACACAGATTTTAAGTTGACTACTGAACTGTCTCAACATTTCAGCGTGTCACTGCTGGCTGTACACTCCAAACTCTTCTCTTAAGAATATTTATGTATTTAAATAGGCAGGAGAATGTTACAGCAGATTTCTTAGAAACATTGGGAAGGGCTCAGAGCAGGTTGTCAGCACTGAACTCCTCTTCGAGAATGCTCTCGATGCTCTGGACTGTTCCTGCTCTGCAGCACCACTCAGGGCTGAGCATTCCTGCAGACTCAGGTGCTACAGGCAGCTAAAGACATCCTCCAGGCTTTGGAGACTTTTCCTGGGCTTTAGGCTGATGAACTTCCCTACCTGGGCCAGGTAGGCCCAGTTTTCCAGGGGAAACTGGCTGAAGCAGTTAACTCATGTTAAGAAGCAGCTTTTCTCCTCTCAGCTGAGAAGCTGTGGCTGCCTTGCACCCACAGGATGCTCATCATTAAGGGATATTTTGGGCTTTTGACTCTGGCCACGCTTGCCACCACCAGGACTGAAGGCAGGTGCACCCTGCCCCGAGGCTGGGGATTGTCCCACTCCCCTCCAGGGAAGTGAGAATGTGTTTCTCCTCCTAAAAAAAAAAATAATAAATATTTCCTTAGCAACGTTTGGGCTTGTGGTGTCCCTTGGAGGTGTGGGCTGGGGGAGAAGGAGGTTGGAAGTGACTGGTGAATTATACATTCAGTGTTTGAGCAGACACTTCCAGTGCTGTGAAAACTAAATGGAATTTTCACATGGAATTTTTACAGCTGGTGGTTCCCACCATGATCCAACCCAGGGCAGGGCCTGCCAGTGCTGTGTGCAGGGGTGCACAGGACAGCAAGACAGATGAGGCCTAGAGAACACAAATGGATTTCTTCTTTGGAAGGCTCCAACCTTCTTGTTCAGAGCAGGAGAGGCCATTTCACACACTGATCCTCCAGGCTGAACCAGACTGACCCACATCTACACACACACATGCACTTGTCTTGAAATAAAGGCTGAAACAATTCAACTCCTGACACTGATTACTTGATGTCCTCATCAGTAAATTTCCACACCAACAGCTTTTGTTTGGAGACCCCTTGACCTCCACAAGGTTAAAAGTGTCTTTGAAACGAGAAATACTGGTATGAGAAATATTGAATTTTGTTCCTGGGGTTGTCAAGGCCTTGTAGGAGCTCACAGCTGGTGCTGCAGTCCCATCTCCCAGCTCTGCTCAGCCAGGTCAGTGCACACAGGGGTGGGATGGAGGCCGCTTCTCCTTACGCAAGAAATGATGGGAAACATTCAAAGTCTGCTCGCACCCGCGCAAAAATCACCTCGTTTTCTACCACATGTGGTTATCAGTAATAATGGATGATGAGCCTGTGGTTTTTCAGACACCACTGACATTTCATCAGCCAACAGTGAGTCACAGCTATTGCCTGTCAGAAAGCTGAAGTGTCTTGGCAGAGTGCAGCTGGCTGCTGCTGCTCTAGAGCCAGCACTGAACAGCTCAGGCAGCAGAAAGCACAGGAATTCAGTTTCCTTATTCAACATTCGAAATAGGGAATCATGGAATCAAGCAGCCTCCTGCAGTTGGGAAGATTTGGCTTATAAGACTTTTCTCAGTGTGAGAAATGAGGGATTTGTCTTTGCAAACGAGCTGTGGGTGTGCTGGTAGATGAAGCCAGCACTGAGAGATAAAAGAAACAATGGGAAGGATTCCACTGGATGATGAATGGGGAAAAATATATATATATATATATATATATATATATATATCTGCCTTTACAAACAAACTGTAGGTTTTCTGATAAATGAAATTGGATATTGAAAGATTAAAGAAACAATGGGGGAAAGCAATAAATTCCATAAGAATTAAAAATTAAGAGGGAGGGTCATAGATTAGAGGGGAATATTAGGTACCAGGCATTCTGGGAAGTCTGTACCTCCCAAGTACCCCAGCCAGTGGGGAAAGAGAGATGGACATGCAGCTGGGAAATTAGGATAAAAAGGAGGCTGCAGCCTCCAAAAAATTTGAGAGACCCCATGGCCACTCCCTTTATTCAAATAAAGTAAAAGGACTCCTCTGTCTCCTATTTAGACATAAACCTCTGGTGTTTGTGGATCAATTTACTGACACAGGGGAGCAAGGACACTGGGCACAGGGGCTGGCTGAGCTGCCCACAGGGAAGGAGAGCTCAGGAGGGAGGTGAAGCTGATCCATGGGCTGGGTGTCCCCAGGACTTTAGGAATGTAGGACAGACAGAAGGCAGGACTGAAGGAGCTCACTGTGAGCTCACTGTTTCTCCTGTGAGCTCACTCTCAGGGAACCACACCTCTGCAAACACCCAAAAACAGCCACTGCCTCCTCCAACACCCACCTCCTCCTCTTGCACAAGCACCTTTGCAGCAGGACAGCTCTGTGCTCTTGCTCACCTGCCCCAGGGGGGTTAGGAGCCCCACCTGCTCACAAGCACAAGATCACTCCCGTTCCTGGCCCTGCACTTTCTCCTGCCCCTGCATTTCACAGCGCCTGGTAGCCCACGCTGTTCTTTGGTGGCCAGCCAAAGCACAGGTCAAAGTTTGGGGCAAGACAAAACTTGATGTGGGCACAGATGTACTTTCCTAATAGTTGCTTTTGTTCTTTGCTTTAAGGCAAAATTCACACCCATTTACTGGCAATCCAGAGACCTGTTTCATTTCTTTTTATAGAAAAGGTGGTACTGATCACCCTGCAAAGACAAATATTTAACCCAGCATAGGATCTGATTCAGCAGCCCCATCGTTTCATCACCAAGTGCATGCCCGAGACAAGACACTGCTGGTGTTATCTCATGGAGTTCAAAGGAATCACATTCCTTTGTTGATTTAAGGTTTCTATTACTGCCAGTGTCTGTTTGTTTGGCTGTCACCAGCACAAAAAGTGGGCAGAATGCACACATCAGATGGGGACAAACAGATGAGACTTGCTTTCAGAACTTTTTAGGGGTTATGTTTTGAATTGTTGGTTGATCTGTTTTCTCTCTTTGTCACTTCCCACAGGACCCAGGGACATTGACACACCTGCCAGCAAGAAACTTCCTTAATGTCTCCTATGAGCTAGGATAACAGCTGGACTTGGTAGTCTGAAAGTCTTTTCCAGCCAAAATGATTCTATGGTTACACATGTTCCACCCTTGACAAGGTGAAGAACTCACTCTGGTAGCTGTTCACCCACTCTGAAAAGACTCAGATTCTCCACTGTCCCCAGCAGCATCCACACTTTACAAGAAAAGGTTTGCTCCAGGTCTCAGGAGAAAAAATGTCCCTGCCTTTCCATTTAGTTTCAATAATTCATCTCCTTGTGTTAAGCTTGATCCTTTTTCCAAAAATGCCCTTTCTAGAGGCAGGGCTTCGTGGCCCATGTGCCAAATCCTGTTTGCACCAGCTGTGCTGTCACAGATGCAGCCAGAAACCTCACCTGCCCCATCCCAGAAAAATCCAGGATTCCTCCTGTCCTGGCTACAGTCACGCACACCTTTGCCCCATGCCTGGGTTTGCAAAAATACCTGCAAAGAAACAGATGGAGAGACAAAACCCTCCACTGATCCTGCAGGGTTTCC